GGGGTGGGGGGGGGGGGTCCAATTGGCTAAAAATCCTTGTAATAAAGACTAAAAAATGAATGAAAGATATAAATTACCTAAAAAAAATCATATAATCCATTAACCGCCCCTGGACTAATCATACCATAAAAATTAATATACTCAAATATCGAAACACCAAAAAAAAATTTTTTTTGCACCAACAAATATTAAACTTGAACCATTAGAAGAACATTATAATTAAACATCTTTAATATGAGAAAAATAGTTGAAACTTTTATATAAATATATGGATGCTTCTAGATTAATTCCAATTATATATTCAATCTCCATCACAATGAACCCGTGCACATGCACCTGATTAATGAATAATGTATAAGACAAGGACATCACCAATTGACAGTCACAACCCTGCCGGGCCCAATGTGTCATATGCATGCACCCATTAACCTACCTTATCTCATTTAACCTATTTAATCAAACAATTAGTCTCTGCACTCCTCTGCCGACACAAACCTAACACCCAAACTTAGTAAGTTGTGCACAACCTTTTTATTTATTTCAAATTCAAATCATCGTAATAAATCATGGTCGAACTTAGGAGAGATTATTACGTGCGAAAGTCGGACCGCCCGGACGTATCAAGAGGTCAATTTGGACTCATTATGTCATCCAATGCATAGTGCATTGAATGATATGATGCGTCTGAATTGGCCGCCAGATACATCCGACGTCCGCACCGCATAATTTTATCAAATTCAGCGGATTGAGCAGATATTAAGATATTAAAAAGTAATTGTTGTTTAATTAATGAATAAAAAGAGTGGTGATGGTGACCAGTCTTTTTAACAAAGAAGAATGTGGTTTATTCGTGCTTGATTTGAAGCTTTAAAAATAGAGCTAGTGGACGGTAGGGAAGCCAAAGTCTTTGGATTTATTAGACGGCCGGATGCGCATTAATGCGTATGCAAGACGACAAATTTTGGCTTATGAAATTCTGATTCGTACGAATATGAAATTAATTTAGTAAATAAAAATTTAATTATAATTTATAATACTATATTTATTTTAAAATCAATTTAATTACTGAATGACTCACGATTACTTCTAAGAGAAAAAAAAGCTTAAATTAAAAAATATGTTTGATTGTATATTTTGTAAGAGCTATATTTATGATATGTTTGTGATGCTGGCAGTTTTTTATAAAGTTGTTTGAAAACAAATGTTTTTAAAGTTATTGAAAAAAACTATTTCTTAACATAAAAATTTCTTAAAAATAAAGAAAACATAATAGTCAAATAGAAACGGTGATTATAGTCTGAAAAATAAATTAAGCAGTAAAAAGCTTTTCCAAACAGCCCCTTAAGCTTCATTTGAGACATTTTTATTATTACTTTCTAAAGTAGTTTTTTATAAAAAAAATTGAATTAGAAAGTTTTTTGTCAAGATTATTCAAAAAGCTTTTCCAAACTGTCGAGTACCTAATGCAACCCTTCATTTTCTCATCCAAGACTTGAGATATGACAACGATAGTGCTTATCTCACCATATAGTGGGATAAAAGCTTCATGTTGTTGTTGTTTTAAAACTCTTTTAGAAAACAGTAAGAAAATTATCTCAAAAAAAGTAATGATTAGGAGGCATGATTTGGTAATGGATGATGTATAGCAAATAAAAGAAATTTTATAATCAAATTATTTAGAAGCTTTATTAGTGGCAATAAAATTATTTTAAAATTTAAGTGTTTTTTAATATATAGTTTAATAGATATGAAGCCAATGTATTTGTATATTATGCAATAGTTTTGTATAGTCTATAAAATATGTGTATGAATATATAACTTCAAAGAAATAAAAATCTCTTTAAATCAATAGGCAACGAATCCTTTAATTTTAGGATATTATACTTTTTTTTTTATATATAAATGCTTGACAGAATATGTGAACCCTACTAATTATAAAAAGATCCTATGATTAAAAAAAATTAAAGCAAAATATTCTCATTAAAATTTGATCAAAATAAAATTTGATCGAAACTCTTAAATTTTCTTTAAAATGAATGTTCAATAAACACTTATATATATTAAATTTGAAAAAAAAAATTATGAATTTTAAAAATCATCTCGATCAATTATGTTCAAAATATATTCTCCTTTTTTTCTTTATATTATATGCAATATTAATATTTTTTTTTTCTTACAAGATGCTTAGATTTACGAATTTATGAAAATTTTGGATAAATAAATAGAAATAAATTGAGATGATGAATGTCTCGCTATTCTTAAATGGAAGGGCTAACGAATGTGCCATTCTCATTTCATCTAATTTTCTTAATAATTAGAAGTGTGCCTTTCAAATATTAAGGCTTCATTTGTGACAGTTTTTTCTAAAACAATTTTTTAATACAAAAATTTTTTGAAATAAAAATTTTTATCCTTAAAAATTATTATTTTAGAAAGCAATAAGAAAACTATCTCAAACATATCATTATTATTTGTTAAATATTTCAAGTCAAAATCTCAAATTTAGGTGTCCAAACATTATTAAATCTCAAAATCGACGAATCATGATATTGATCGATTAACGTTTTGTTTTAGACAAATTTTTTTCTGCTTAAGAAATAATAAGAAAATCGTTCCAAACGAAGCCTAAGAGAGTATCATTACTATCAATTATGATAATAAAGTTATAATATGAATAAAAAAAGTCAACCATACAACTAGTCAAATGGAGCATCCGGTACGTACGATGTTCTCGACATTTTACTATATTCCAATTTTAAAATTTTTAAATCATGAATAATAAAATTTAAAATATATAATTAAAATTTTAATCTAAAAAAATATAAATTATCCTTTAATTAATAGGTCCTTTCACTCAATTTATATGAGTTTGTCTGAATACTATTCTTTGGCACTTAACATCCCAAATAAATAAATATTAGTTTTTTTTTTTTCATAAACAGCCAAATCGGTCAGATGCATTTCTGCCTGATAAAGTTCTGCTGTAGCATTACTGTCATTATGATAATTGTAATGGAGTATTTGCTTAGGGAAAATTATTGTTGTTTTTTTTAATATATTTAATTTGTAATGTTTAGCTATTTTTTATTTTGTATATAAATAAAATTAATTTGAAAATTACTCAAAATAATATTTTAGTTATTTTAAAAATTTTAATTGAAATCCACCTGACCACTGGTTACGAATCACTTCACTATGAATTGTTATCACTTATAATCATCGTCACATGCAATATTTAATTAAAAATATATTTATTGGTTATAAAATATATTTTACTTTCATATTAAACTCAAAAATTTAAAAAAAAATTAAAAAAAAAGAGAAAATTATCTAAACGATCTCTTGAATCTTTATGAAAGATCAAGATAGTGATGAGCCAAGATTAGATGACGATGCGATCCTAACTGTTGTGCTTTTTCACAACTGAAGAACAACACAGTGATGAGCCTAATAATTTCCTTCATTGTTAGGGCATCTCCAATCCAAAATCTCATTTTTCACTCCAAAATATAGTGAAACTAAAAAATGCCATGATTCATCTCCAATGGAACGGCATTTTGCCCCGTAAACCGTCGTTTTCTTCATTCGCTCCTTTTTCCTAAAGTTCGGTAGAGATAAAAGAATGGTGCAGATGAACAGCATCCGCGATCAAATGTCATTAAAAATGACATTCGGTTGGAACAAAACATGAACGGCAAACAAGTCGGTTGGAGATGCCCTTAGAGATGCTTATTATTCTCTCTAAAACTGTGTAATTAATGATTGCTTTTAATGCCAACTGAGTAATTAAGGTTCAAGTTTCTTCTCTTTGTGAGCTCTTCTCCCTGCTCAGCGCCATGAAGAAAGCATCAACGGAAGAAGTATGGTGAGGAGAAGTGGTCATCGGTTCTGGAAGACAAGGAATCGGATGTTTACGACCAGGTTTTGAAGGCTGATCTAGCGGCAGAGCAGGTCGATGTTTTCATTGTTGATGCTTCGTCTGTTGAACACGAGCAGTTTTTTAACTCATTTGGGGATGAACAGCTTCAAGTACCTTCAATGGAGTCCGATCGTTTAGCTAATGGTGACGAGCTGGTGTCGGGTGAGCCAGTTCCGTTCGGTTTTGCGTTCGCTTTGGAACGGGATTCTTCTTCGTTCGTTCGTCATTGCCTCGACCTTTCCGTCTGCGAATTCGAGTTCGAATGTATCTCGTTCTTGCAGGCTGGGGAGATCGAACCACAACCTCCGGCGAGTAGCGTCTCGAGCGGCTCCGATCAGGCCCAGGCAAGTCCGACTTCTGCTATGGAACCAGGCGTTTCTGGATCAGGGAAGGTTCAAACTGCAGCTTTGGTTTTCTTGCAAATCAATGCTAGTCCGACTGCTGGTTTTGCAGTCAATATGAGCAATGGTGGATCAGAAATTGCGAAGGACTGTAGGTATTTGAATGATCCTATGGATTCTACTGTTTGTTCTGAGATTGATCGCATGCATGTAAATACATTAGATGAAGCCATTCATGTTATTTGTAACTGCAAATTACAAATCAGGTGTTTGTGCAAATGCCTCTACCATAACTGCTTGCTTGAATGGCCAAACTACTTATTTTCAACAATCCTCCAAGCATCCAAATGGTGCTAAACCTGCCCATGACCTATCCTATGTATGGAATAGGTTGGACGTAATCAAAATTGATGATGTTCCTAAGGCGGCAGTTATGTTAGATGATGGAAGTTCTGTGACTTTGAACATGGAGTCCGTCCATGCCAACTTAGTTAGGCTTGAAAGATGGCTAGTGTGCAAGCTTATTGGGTGAAGGTTACCTTACTTTGTGCTAAACAACGAATTAAAGTTTGAATGGTCAATATTTGAAGATTTTCAGCTCCTTTCCATTTCCCTGGATTCTTTCATTTGCCTCTTTGAAAGTGCTGAGGCTTTGGATGCTGTCCTTATGGGTAGACTGTGGGTTATTGGTGGGTATATTGTTGGTTTTGATCGTTGGTCTCCTTCATTCTCTCCTCAATCAATGGTAGGCCTATCTTCTCCTATTTGAATTCGCTTGCCTCACTTGCCTCTAATGTATTGGGACAACACCAATCTTGCTCTGATAGCTTCTTTCTTTGGACCACCTCTATGAGTTGATGCTCAAACAAACTCCTAGGGGAGAAATGCTTTTGCTCGTATTTGCGTGCAGATGGATTTGGTGCCAAGCTTCCTCCAGGAGTTTGGATCTCTGGGCTCCATGGCAAGTTTTTTTAAAGGGCGGAATATAAGGATATCACTCACCTTTGCTTCCAATGTGGCTTTGTTCGACACAACATAAGTAATTGTCCCAATGTTCCTCAATCCTCCAAGCTGCCCACACAACAACCTCAATGTAGATCGAATCCTCCATGTGTTTTGTGCAAGATTAGCAGCACCCCTCTTCTAGTGACCCTCTCGTCACTAATAGTTGCCCTCCAATGGCGATTAATGACCCAAATTCATCTTCTATGATCCAGCCAACTCTCTATCCACTCCGGTTGGAAATTGCGCACTCTCCTTCTACTATCAAGCATAGTGCAAAAGAAGGGAAAATTTCAGAAACCTATGGGCCTTGGAGTCTTGTTACAAAAAATCTAGGAGACATAACAAGAAGAATTCCAATGTAGGTATTGGAGATCAGAAGTCTATTCTCCCTTCCTTGCAAATCTCAAGTGGGGAAGTTAATGTTCCAACCAAGCAAGTTGTTTCATCTAGGGATGGTGATATCTCCAACATACCCTTCAAGTTTTCCACTGAGGCTTTCCTCATGCATCCAAGAAGATCTGACCCAAGGTATGATAGAGTCTATAAGACTCGTTTTGCTAAGGATCTTCATCGTTTGGGGGCCAATTACTAATAATCCTAGGAAGTGGAAGGAGGGTGGCGGGGACGACTCTCGTTAAGGTGTTCAATATTGGGGGTCTCTACATGGTCTTCTTGTAAGGGGCGCCTCAATTCTCTTGGTATTCCCCCTTTTGGAGTGGACCTTACCCTATTTGTTTGATACTTGCTAGGAGCTCTGGTGTGTCCTCACTTTGACAACAAAACAATGATTTTTTGTCCCTTTTTTGTGAAGTATAGGCATATTTGGGAAGTTTTAGCTTGTTCTATGCTTCTCACTTTTTTATTTTGTTTTATCTTGGGAGGTTTCTTTTTTATGCTTCTTCCTAGATTATACTCATTGTATACTTTTTGACCTTTTAATAAATTTCCTTAAAAAGAAAATTAAGTTTCTTCTCTTAGTTGTAAAGTTCATTATTGTTCATTGTTGATCTTTTGTTTATTCAGAATATGAACTCAGTAATTCAAATTTTGAAAGTAACATAACTCTATAGTACAACAAATTTAGAGCTATTTGATTGGCTAAAAAAAGGATAAAAAAGAAATGCAGTATAAAATAAATATAGTGTAAAATGAATGAATTATAAAAATAATAATTTAGATTTGTTTAAATGAATGTAAGGTATTTACAACTGAATGATTATCTTTTTTTTTTTTTTTTGGAAATAATAAATGTAGTGTAAAGTCTACAAATGATATGACCAATAGGGGAGATAGGAGTGGTGATCGACAATACGTTGTGGTCAACGACAGGGCAGACAACGGTGGTGATGGCCAAAAGTGGTGGTAGCCTGTGGCAGGTCTTTGGCGGTGATGGCCGATTAGGGTGGCTGGGTGACAATAATCAAGCAAGTTTACTTGTGTGTGAACATCGCTCAAAGCTGGACAAATTTGATATACTTAAAGAATGAACTAAAATAATTTACACTATATTTATTTTACTCCACTTTGTATTTCAATCAAACATCAAAATTTTCAAAACCACTATATTTAGAATACTTCTAATGGATTCAACTTAGGATTTGTTCTCTTTATTTCAGAAGATTTTATTTTCTTCATGATTCTCTCACGGTTATGCCAAGCTTTAAATTCAAGCTTAGCTATGGAACTACAGTGAAAGCCTTCTATGTAGAGTGGATTGACAATGGGATTTTTCATTTGTCTAGGCTGCAAAGATATAAAAATTAAGTGATGAAACTGAAGATTTATTTTTTAATGCTTTTCAGCTCCATCATGACAAGAAAAAGCTGAGCAAAACAAATACATCTCGACTGATATGAAAAAACATTGAAACCGTTTGATAAAACTTGTGCATAAAAGCTTCTCAAACTCTCTTTTTTTTTATGCTTTGTGCGGCAAACTCCTGACAAAAATCTATCACCAGACAAGCAATGTTGTTTCGGTGAAAAAAAGTATGATAGATACTTTCAGAATTTTCTTTACAAAAGTTACTTTATGACAATTGAAAAAGAATATGCTTCATAAAATAACTTTAGTGTGAGGAAAAAAAAACCAGAAAACCAATCAAATGATGAGTCAAAAAGAAGTTCTCAATCACTTAAATCCCTCAAAACAGCAAGGGGTAGGTATACTTTTATATATTCCTAGCCGGCAAGCCAGAAGTGACCAAAAACAAGAGAACAGCAATGGAGGTCACAATCCATCAAAACCAAGCTTTGTGAGTGGAGTTTATGTTAGGTAGCATTGCCTACATTTAGGCTTAGTTTGGGACGGCTTTTTTACTGCTTCTTGAAGCAACTTTTTAGTATAAAAATTAAAATTTTTGTACTAGAAGCTACTTTAATAAGCAATAAAAAAACCGCCCCAAACGAAGCCTTAATCACAAGTGATTCTCGCACTCTTTAAAGTCTTACTATTAACTTATAGTTCAGAAGAACCAGAAAATCTAGCAAACTATTACAATTCATGCATCAATGAGTTTGCAATCCCATTATTAATGACACCAGAACTACTTAAAACATTCATAGTTGTGGTGAAAGCAGAGAAGAATTCAAATGCTAACAGCTAATGGCTAGTTCTGTAACAATTTCCCTTTATTTAGATTCTCAGAAATTAATGCATCTGAACTACAATTTTGCGAAATATGAAGCTAGTTGCCTTTAATAAATAAAATTACACAATGGTATCCATTTGATCAGACAGGAACAGCATAATTTAACTTTACAACTTTTTTTTTTACTTCTTATCTTGAAGGCAATAGCTTCCATTACCACTTACAAAAGAAAGTATTTCTTCCATTACCATTTTCAAAAAGAAAAGCAGGCCCACGCATGTGTAAAATACTAGCGCACACACAGGAGAAACATGACAAAAATACTATTAGGAATACCTTGTGGAAATCCTCATAAGAAAGTGCTCATCATTAATAGTTTTTACATGGTTGAGTCTATTTACGCAGCATTTCTTTCATCAGAAAATAAGGGATAATGAGCTCTTTCTTGTCGGCAATATAAAGAGCTCCCTAATAAGATTTTTAAGTATGGAGAAACAAGAGAGGAATGGTGCATGAAGATCTGCACAAATTAAAAATATGAAAGAGAGATAATAAAGCGAAAAACATTTGAAGTGTGACAAACAAGCAGGTCTTGGATCTAATTGGTTTTCGAATTCTACTTCAAATTTGCCCAAACGATATAAGCAAAATGGAAGTGAAAAAAGGGGTGGATACTAACAGGTACTACGTTCTCTACTTATCATAAAAAATAGCATTTTAGAAGAAATGCAGGCAAGCCAAAGCAAGCATCAATAATGTTAAATCAAACCTTGGACGAACAAATTGGATTCAGTTTTTGATTCAGAAAGAGACTGGATAAATTTTGCCTTACAAAATTCTCCGGTTAAAACAGCACTGACGAAAGAAGACCTCAAGACGAATTGTTGGTCTTCAAGCAAATGCTAGTGTGCTGCTGGGCAAAATAGTCTCAGAGGGATCTAGCATAATATTAAATTCATGAATTGCATGAAAACCCTAAAAAAGTACCGATTTTATTTATATGGTGCAATAATTCTTCTTCTGCGCTTTGGGGTCTCTCTTTTAACATACATTTTCTCCATTTCATTCAATGAGCGGCTAGATCCATCTGGCAAGCTTACAAACTTCCAGCCACCACCTGCACCTCGCTTTCCCTTGGAACCCAGCTTCTCGACAGTGAAACTCCATCCTTCTGGTGGTCGCCTCCTGCTATACTTGTGGCATTTGACCTCGCCTGCAACCTGAAATAGAAAGAAGAAAGTATTTATAAAATTTTCTGTTAGGAATATGAATTACAATCCTCGGCTATGATTATTCTATAAGGGGCAGTTAGGTTGGAGGAAATGTGAATGCAAAGTAAACCAAATACATTACTTTTTTAATTTTTGGCATACGGTTGGACACAATGTAAAGTAAAATAAAATCCTAATGCATTCCAAAAACCCCATTGCAGCTCCTTTTCCTCGTAAAAGAAACTCGCCCGTTTTGAGCGAAAAAAGAAATCACACGAGGGAAAAAGAGAAAAGCCCGCGGGAAGCATCTTCATCTCTTCATCTGCGTCGTTTATTCCGAGTTGGATGCCGACGCAGCATTAGGGAGAAGCGTAAAGCGGCCGCGATTTTCAGATTTGGATGCTCACGGCATGGAGAAGAAGCGTGAATCGTCTGTAGATGCTGCATGTGTTCGCAACTGAAGCCTCTAGGGCATTTTGCTACTTGCTCGAGCTTCAGACATGTCGACTAGCATCCCGTGCACTTCTCTCTTGTCAGCAATGATCACGCAATGCATATCCTTAACCTGCACAGTGGTGGCGTTGCTGGGTTTGGCGACCAGATTGGGCCGAAGGCCTCTGTTTCTCACAGGTGGAATGGTGATGTTTGTCATGGGGGCACTTGCTTGGCTAGCGACCAGTGAGATCTTTCCTCTCGAGATAAGGTCGGCAGGGCAGAGCATTCAGGTGGCGGTGAACTTTTCAGCACTTTTGCGGTGGCGCAAAGTGTGTTGGAGATGCTCTGCAGCCTCAAACTCGGGAGTTTCTTCTTGTTCGCAGGATTTGTTCCGTTCATGATGTCGTTCGTCTATTTTTGGTGCCAGAGATGGAGTGTCGTTGGATCAAATGGTTAGTGCAGGGAATCAGCATTGATATTGGAAGAGCTTTCCCCCCTGGCGGTGGCGATGAGGAGGACAATGAACAAATGAAGAAGGAGAAGGCCGCCAACACTCTGTGATCTGCAGAGTGAGGATTTACTGCTAGCAAAAATATTTTACTTTTCTCTGTATACACTCAACCAAATAGAAAAAAATAATTCTTCTGCATTTACTTTATAGACAATTAAATAGTCTCAAAGTATTTACTTTACACTGTATTTACTTTAAACAACATTTCTTTTTCAACAAACCAAACAGCCCATAAACAATTTTTATGATCAATAATGAAAACAGAGCTTTAAAAATGAATTCCACGTGAAGCCATACAATCTAGTATTTTTAAATACTGCAAGAAAGCAAAGATGGAACATGATTGTGTTTCCTGTTGTCTCATATGCGTCTGCTTTAATGTAGCTACACAATTAGGTTTTGGCAAGGTAGTCAATGGCGGAACTGTAAAGCTAATGATGAAACCCAAATGCCACATGGCTAAAGGCTCAAACCACTTCTCTGTTTATTTGCTCTGACCGTATAGTCTGCTCCACTTCTCTGACCATAACGGTCTGTAATGATTTCCCATTGGCTTATAAAAGCCTACCGGAAGCATAACTGAGATAAGCCTTTTACAATACTATTCACTGTTAATCTTCTTCCTTTTCTTTTAACCTTTCCTGTGCAGGTTTCTTCTCATGGTATCAGAGCTGTGAAGCTTTACAGCAACACCAGCTCTAGAAGATGGAACAGGGAGGATCTTCGCAAACTCAAACATCAGCTTCTCAGCCAATGAGCACTCCTACCTTGTCCGCGTCCTTGGCTGATTTCACCGTCCCTCCGCTCAAATTCCTGATGTCAAACCTTAAATCATTAGTTCATACTCAGCTTACGGCAGAGAACTACGCGATCTGGAGGTTGCAGATCTATCAAGCCTTCTCCGCCAACGGTTTCGAAGGATACATTACAGGAGAACAGTCATATCCTACCTCCCACAACGATCAAAAACTGTGGAAACTGATCGACCAGAATCTCATATCTACACTATTCTCTACCATCTCACCTTCGGTACTACCGTATATACTTCACCTTAAGACCTGTCATGACATCTGGACAACTCTGGAGCTCCGCCTACAACCATCAAACAGATCAAGGGTATTGCAGCTTAAAAATGAACTTCACAACGTACAAATGCGCGACCAAACCATTCCTCAATATCTAGCACAAATTAAATCTCTGGTCGATAACATCGCCGCGGCTGGATCACACATTGAAACGGAGGACATTGTGCTCTACACCTTAAAGGGACTGCCTCCTTCCTATAACCCCTTCAAAGCTGCAATACGTATCTCACCCCACACCATTACTCTTGAATCTTTATACTCCTTGTTGTGCAGCGAGGAGATAAATCTCCAGTCAGAGATTCAACAAGAGCTAACTTCCACAGGCGACATCCAAGCTTTATATTCCTAACGCGGAAGAGGTAGAAGCTTTGCGTCCAGAACTAACAGAGGTCGTGGTGGTAATTCAAGCTCTATGACCACGCATCCAAGAACACCTCCCTCTACCAATCGCCCCACCTCACGCCCCACCTGCCAAATTTGTGGTAAAACAGGTCATTCACTCTCTCCTGCTGGCATCGATATAACTCCAACTATGCCGAGCCTCCAACAAACACCTCCAGGGCTTATATGGCTCAGTCACAGCCTCCAAACACTACTGAATGGATACTGGACTCTGGGGCCTCTACTCACCTTACACCCGACATCGTCAATGTCCAACAGCCAGCATCCTACCATGGAGGAGATACCATATCAACTGCGAGTGGTTCGTCTTTACCAATACAGAACAGTGGGTCTGGTCTTCTTCCTCTCCCCGACACCAACCGTAAGCTCAAACTCTCCAACCTCCTCCATGTTCCATCCCTTTCACACAATCTTCTCTCAATTTCTCAACTCGTAACTGACAATCATTGCTCTGTCTCATTTGATCCCGGTGGCTATGTCATCAAGGACCTTCGGGACAACACAACTCTCCATCATGGCCTTAACCGCAACGGTATCTATCCGCTTCAAACATCCGCAACTGCAACATCCTCTGCTCTTCACACGACACCAACATCAGTTCTTCTCTGGCACGCTCGCTTGGGCCACGCTCACCCTCGTGCGATGGCATCTCTATCCAACATTATTCCAGCTCTTACAAATAGTTCTCTTAGTTTTGTCTGCACTTCTTGTAACATGGCTAAAAGCCATCGTCTCAACTTTCCTAGGAATGCTTACCATGTAACTACACCTTTTACGTTAATACATTCTGATGTTTGGGGTCCCTCCCCGACTCCCTCTATCAATGGCTTTCGATATTATGTGGTCTTCATTGATGATGCTACTCGTTTCAGTTGGATTTATTTAATGCACACCAAAACTGAAACTATAACCAAATTTCTACAATTCTTAAAAATGATTAAAAATCAATTTAATACCACTATCAAAACCTTCAGATCCGACGCCGGAGGAGAATATACCAATCATGCCTTCAAAAACCTTCTTCTCACTCACGGGATATCCCACCAATTCAGTTGTCCTCATACCCCTCAGCAAAACGGCGTCTCCGAGCATAAACACCGGCACCTCATTGAAACTACTCGTACACTCCTGCACGCGGCTCATCTTCCTTTTCGCTTCTGGGCCGAAGCTCTTCAAACATCCAATTACATAATTAACCGTCTTCCCACTTCAGCACTCCATTCTAAAATTCCTTTCACACTTCTTCATGGTCGATCCCCCAATTATGACCATCTAAAATCCTTTGGCTGTATCTGCTTCCCCTGGCTTCAACCTCATTCCCCTCATAAACTCGCTCCCCGATCTCTCCCTTGCATCTTCCTGGGTTACTCTCCTCATCACAAGGGCTATCGCTGCTTTCACCAACCTACCAACAAACTCTACATATCCAGACATGTCAAATTTCATGAACAACATTTTTCTCCCCCTGAACCTGCACTACACTCTTCTCCTCAGACAACCAGTGCATACATTCCTCCATCACTTCTCATCCCTACGTCTAACATACTCACTCCGTCTACATTGGTTCCACCGCACCCTAACCAGTCACCTACTACAACCTCCCCATCACCATCCACATCCTCCCCCTCAGCCCCTCCTTCTATCCCACATTCCCTTCTCCCTGACCCTATCGCCCAACCCATAACCACCCATCATATGGAGACCAGATCTAAAACGGGTCACTTAAAACCCAAGAAAATTTACGATCTCCTTGCAGTTGAAGATATCTCCTCCACCACGTCTACCTACAAGGCTGCATCTACCTCTCCACATTGGAGAGATGCCATGTCAATGGAAATAGAGGCTCTCCACAAACAAAACACATGGTCCCTTACTCCACCTCCACCTAAAGCTCCCATTCTTGGATGTCGATGGCCGTACAAAACAAAGACCAAACCAGATGGCACACTCGATCGGTACAAAGCTCGACTTGTAGCTCAAGGCTACACTCAACAATACGGAGTTAACTATCGGGACACCTTTAGTCCTGTTGCCAAAATGCCCACAATCCGAATCCTATTAATCATCGCTCTTCAACGTCACTGGCCACTACTTCAGTTCGATGTGAACAATGCCTTTCTTCATGGGGACCTCAAGGAAGATGTTTATATGCAGCAACCACCAGGGTTCATAGATCCAATTCGACCCAACCATGTCTGCAAACTTCACAAGGCTCTCTATGGCCTTAAACAGGCCCCTCGCCAGTGGTTTCACAAGCTGACATGTTTTCTGGTTCAGTTCGGGTTCTGTTTCAGCTGTGTCGATCCTTCTATGCTGGTATACAGCCATGGCACTACACAGTTATACATCATCATCTATGTTGATGACCTATTGTTGACTGGCAATCATACGGCCACCATCAATGTCCTACTACAAGGAATACACGATACATTTGATCTTAGACAAATGGGGCAAGCGAACCTTTTTCTTGGGATTCAGATTGCTTACACTAAGACTGGAGCCTTCCTTCGTCAATCTCACTACGCACGGGACATCATACTAGCTTCGGGTCTTCAAGACTGCAAACCTGCTAGCACTCCAATCACTGCCTCTGGACCTTCAGCAGCTCCAAATCTTCAACCGTACGACAATCCTAAGCTATACCGACAACTTGCAGGTTCCTTGCACTATCTTACTATCACTCGACCCGATCTGTCATTCGCAGCCAATGTGATCTGCCAATCTATGCACAATCCTACCATCACCGACTTTCTGAAGCTCAAACGGTTAATACGATACATCAAGGGCACTCAACACCTTGGTCTCCCAATCTCTTCAGGCCCACTTGAACTCACAGCATACTGTGATGCTGACTGGGCAGCTAACACAACCGACAGGAAATCCATTTCTGGCTTCTGCACTTTCCTTGGCCCCAACCTTGTCTCCTGGAGCGTGAAGAAACAAACCACAGTGGCCAAGTCCTCCACCGAGGCTGAATACAGAGCTTTGTCTTCCGCTCTATCAGACGTGATTTGGCTAAGACGCTTGATGTCTGACTTTCAAATAACTCTCACCTCACCTACCACGATGCTCTGCGACAATCTATTGGCACTAGCTCTTGCCCACAATCCAGTTTTCCATGCTCGGACGAAGACATCGAAATTGATCACCATTTCATCCGTGATCATATCCGTGGTCGTCTCTCATATTCCGTCCGACAAACAGCTCGCCGACATCCTTACCAAGCCACTGCCAGTCACTCGGTTTCATCAATCTGCGCAACAAATTGAGCATCAGCTCACTGGATGCTCAATTTGAGGGGGCATGTAAAGCTAATGATGAAACCCAAATGCCACATGGCTAAAGGCTCAAACCACTTCGCTATTTATTTGCTCTGACCGTATGGTCTGCTCCACTTCTCTGACCATAACGGTCTGTAATGATTTCCCATTGGCTTATAAAAGCCTACCGGAAGCATAACTGAGATAAGCCTTTTACAATACTATTCACTGTTCATCTTCTTCCTTTTCTTTTAACCTTTCCTGTGCAGGTTTCTTCTCAAGAACCACTAGTAGGTTAGGGGGGATATTGCCCCCCCCCCCCCTAAAAAATTCATAGGAGTAAAAAAAAATTTATAGGAGAGTAAAAAAATTTTTTTGCCCCCCCTAAAAAACTCATTTGTCCAAACTTGTCCTAAAATATCTATATGTTTCTTCACATTTAGTTCTAATATTCTCTTTCATGCTTTTAATGACAGTTTAATTACACTTTTTCCTTTAATTTTCTTGCTTAATTTAAAAAAAAACTTTTCGTAATATATAGATATATAATATTATTTTTTTGTTGTATTTGCCCCCCTCAAAATTGAAGCTGGTTCCACCCCTGATGGCAGTGCTACTCCATTAGAGGATAAGGATCTCAAGTGCAAACAATAATCAGATAGTTTACAAGTTAGTCGACAAATTAACAATTTAGTTTCATTAAAACCAGCTAATTGAGGAAATTTGATATTAGTAAAATACAAAGCAAAGAGGGACATGGATGATATCGAAACATAAACTTACCTTCTTTTTGTTGAAGTTTAGGCGCTGAACAAATTCTTCATACAACATTTGGTCTTCCTTAACAGAGATCTCCCAATGAACCTCGTCAGGATCTCTCGTTGTCCCATCCCAGTCCTCTGGCATCACTTTAAAATCTGGTTTGTATGGAAGACGGGCAACATGGAATTCTCTGTCATGGGACTTGAAAAATCTACAAAAAAAATTGAAAATTGAAATTATAAATCTTTAAAACATGCAACAAAAAATTCAAAAGTTAATCATCTATATCAACACATATAAACAAAGGGCAATTTCACACCTAAAACTCAATCGTGTTATTTATAAAAACAAATACCCTCCTATCTCCATTCATCAAATTCCTACCGAAATATTAAAATTCATAATAAAATCAGTCGAATTTTTAGTTTTCATCAAATTCTCAATGATTTAGTATGGCAGTTCATTGTTTTAGGCTAGGTGTTAGATTTTTAAACATGCATGATAGTGTTGAAATGTAGGTAATTCTCCGTACAAACAATTGAAAAAAAGCACATCATATAAATAATTGAAAGCTGCACCAGAACGGTCAATAGCATTATATGTAACATGAGTAATTGGTTTGAAATATGTTGTATGATTCTTAAGTCCTGAATAAATGCTGTGTAAAAACTCAACAAAATAGCCGCATGAAAAAAGCAATTATTTCCTTAAGTTTGCATTATTCACGATGGATGCACAATTTATGCATGCATTTCTCCTCAGGCCCATAAAAAGATCACTTCATAGTGTGATATCATTGTTTACAATTGGTAAGGCTGATGGATTTGTGTTTCCCCCAACCACTGAAAGCCAAAAGGAGGGAAAGGCCCAAGGGCTTCAACTCTCAAAATTAATTTCTCCATTTCCATCCTTGAAAAGTGCTCTTGCATTACTATATCAAAACATACAAAAAAGCACAATTAACGGTGTACAAACTGATCACAATCCTCCTTCAATTAAAAAAAAAAAAAGGAAGAACAGAACGAAGATTTTCACTATTTTCCTTTTTTCCATACAAAATTTGTATCTAAAGCTAACTGAGCACAAAAATAAGCAAACTTATTGCTTGTTCTAACTACATGATGAAATTTAACTTGCTTGAAAGCTTTGAGAAAGCTAAAATATCAAAAGCCTCCGGGGGTTGATTTTGCCATGTTGCATCTGTCATGCTCTTCTGGAGAAATTTTGCCATATTGCATCTGTTATGCTCTTCTGGAGATATTTGATGACACTATTGTTATCTCCCTCAATGATAATTCCATTTGCTTCATGCATTCAGGACTCAACAATGGATTCCCATCCAGGGAATATATGTTGAGCTGATAGTAAAAGTTCATTGTGGAAGGGAATTGGTCCGAGTGTGACATTTGAGACTGCTCTGGCAACCAAATCAGAACTCAGTTCAACGCAGAAACCACCATAGAAGGATGTTTTTACTTCAAATTCCAGACACTTAGTCTGAAGTCACCTAAATGCTTTCTACCGGTCCTACTAATGCACTTATTGCAAAATAAATACAACCAAAAAACCTAAGTGGTAGGTGCTGCTTCCACAACTTCTCCCACTGCCAAGTTTACTAGTCATAAGCGTTACTACTAGAATGTTGACTCAATAATTTAAAAAGGATGTCAGCAAATATCTTAGGAGAGATCCAATAAAAAGAAATTTTGGTTGTTTGCTTCGAGCAAGAGAAGTATTAAACAGGGAGGGCCTTGAGAGGAATCTGTTAAAAAGAGGTAGGGAGAGAAATTTTTCTTTAAGAAAACGGTCTTCTTGCTATCTTAGAGTATTTTCTTAATACGGTAGAAACAATTCCATAGACAAGCATGATAGCACATTTCACTGGAACTTTCAATGACTAATTTCCATAGAATGTTGACTCTATTACCATTCACATTAAGTTCAAGACTAAATTATAGACCCAATTATTATTAGGGCAGATTTTGGGTTGACCCAAATAACTCAAAGTTGACCTGGCTATTATTTAGCTTTGGGTTACATAAGTTCAAGCCAAGCTAATTGCGTTAAACAAGTCATATTCAGGTTAATTGAATTGTATTGATAAAAAAAACTCATAATCCAATAATAAATGGGTTAGATGAGCTTTAAAATAGGCGGGTTTGGGTAAAGTCAAAAATTTTGACCTATATAATGAACAGATCAAATTCAAGTTAAGAAATTCGAGTTGGTTTAACTTTGCACCCTACCCACCTAAATTAACACTCTTAGACTCAATTGAAACATTCATAAGCAGTACAAAATGAAAATCTAAGGCTACTTTAATGTAATATGTGTTTAGGATATTTTTCATTATATAGATTGATTTATTAGGATTTACCAGTCTCAATTATGATGAACAAAAAAATCGAAAAAGAACTTGATTCAATTATGATTTTTAGGAATTTATTTATTATTTATTTATTTTATATATATTTATTATTTATATAAATTATATTAACTAGCAATCATGTGCTAAAAATTTATTTCAACTTAGGATTTACTACTAATACTGTTATTAAATTTATATGATCTAAAATTTCATAATTATATTATTAAATTTATTTATGCCTATTAAGGATAATTAGCTTATACCTTGTGAAATTTTTTAAAGGTCTAGAATTTATTTTGGCTTTAATTTTTATGATAGTATTCTAACAAATTTGTGTTTCTACACAAAAAAGGATTTTTTGGAGCTCATTTAATATATTTAAAAGTTTATGAAAATTATAGATTAATTAAGATTGATGACGGAACTGTATTATACTTGATGAATTATAATTTATTTATATTCCATTGGGTTCATTCAATTGTTTACATATGATTTAACATATGATATAATATATTTCTATTAAAAATAAATTTATTACGATTTTATGTAAATTGATTATTTCCTCTCAAAGCTTGGCAAAATATTGAATATCGAAAACATGTAAGTGTGTGCATATCAACGTCACAATTCAATCTGAAACAACCTTATATCTGATAGTTTTTGGAAATGTTGGGTGCTTTTGAGGTGAATTATTTAGAGGTTTTTAAAGGCATTTTTCAAGACTTTTCTTAAACACTCCTGAGCATATAAATAGAGGATAAATAGAGGGGAAAAAAAACTTAGGAGATTACCTAAACATTGCGAGCTTCCATGTTATATCATTTTTTAGTGAAAATCAATAAAAAAATTATAGCCATCTAGCCAAGCTAAGAATATTCTTTAAATGAAGAAATTAAAAAGAATTTATATGTATAAACTAATTTTATGCTTGAAGTAGAATTTAAAATTAAGTTAGAACTAATTTTTTCCTGAAAAATATTTATTCACCTAAACTTAAAATTGAACAAGAGTCAAAAATTGAATCTAAAACAGAATATGAGGTCATATATGATACTAAATCTGAATTAGAACTCAAATTTATCCTTTATCTTAAAATTAAACTAATCATACACGTTGAAATTATAAAATCATTAACAATCCTTAAAATTTATCTATTGATGTTATCCCTATATCAATCAATAAAACCAATATTTACATTCTTTTTAGTTATTGGGTTTTTTATTTTCATTGAGGAAACTAAATGAGTTGGAGAGAAAGCTAAGGAAATTGATAGTTTATGATTTAAACTTTGATATTCGGGTAGGAGTCGTACTAGAAATGGTGTAAGTATTATTATAGCTTAAGAGTTTGAAGGATAATATTATAAAAATGAATAGGATTGGAGATAGAATTATAGCTTTAAAGATTGTTTTTTATGATAAGATTGTTAATATTATAAGTGCTTATGCTCCTCAAGTAGGTTTGAATATGAGTTCTAAATTAAATTTTTGGAATGACTTAGAAGAATTATTACAAAAAAATACCTCTTGAAAAAATAGTTTTTATTAGAGAAGATTTAAATAGAGGCAAAAGGAGAGCCACTTTGATAATAGTGCAATATCTGAAGAGGGAGTCTTCAAGGAGTGGGTGTAAGTCATATTTGATTATAAATTTTTGTGTCTTTTAAATTTATATTTTTTATTTACTGTAAGTTATTTTTTGTGATTGAAAAGTTTTATTTTAAAACTTTAATTAACTTGCTTTGTAAATCAATGATTTCAAATTTTAAAATCCAATAGAATTTTTATATTAGTAATTCACCCCCCTCTTGATTAGACTTGGGATATTAGTTTAGGTTTAACAACCTAATCTTGATTCAACAAGAATCAACATTTATTATACACACATAGGTTTATTAGGGTACCACTTCTAGCTCTAGGATTAGGGCCGATGTTTACTTTTTCTGCTTTCTATTTTTGTGATGAGATGTGATTGTGTGTGACATGTATACTAATTGACTTATTTTTCTTTGCTATGCTGTGATTGATGTGATGCTTATTTCATTATTATACTTTATATACTTTTCTTGTGATATTGTGTATGCATTAGATTGCCCATGGGTAGAGGTAGATTATTTTAAAAGCATTCATGGTGGTCATAGTTTTGGAACGACAAATGAAGATGGCAAGACCATATTAGATTTTTATTTAGCTTATGATTTTTCAATTTTTTATTATTATTATTATTTTTTTTAGCTTATGATTTTTCAATTGCTAATACCTTATTTAAGAAAAGGAATGAGCATATCATCACTTATAAAATGGATATAGTACAACCCAGATTGACTATTTTCTTATAAGAAAATTAGATCGTTTATAATGCAAAGATTGTAAAATTATTCCGAGTGAAAATTTATATAACCAACATCGATTACTAGTTTTAGACTTTAAGATAAAATGACTGAAAATAAAAAATAAAATAAAACGATATTCTATGATTAGATTTGGGCATTTAAAGAATATTAATTAAAATATTTTTGAGAGTAAAATTTTATATCTTAAGATCTTATCTATGCATGAGGATGCTAATATTATGTGAGAAAAAATGGCTAGTGATACTAAGAATATTGCAAAAGATGTGCTTGGAGTATCAAAGGAAAAAGTTCATAATAATAAAAAATAGTTGATGTTGGAATCCAAATGTGCAAGAAAAGATTAAAAATAAAAAAATTTGTTATAAAAATTGGTTTAATTTTAAAAATTCTGATAATTGGGAAAGATATAAAGAGGCTCATAAGGAATCTAAGAAAGCAATATGCGATGTAAAGACCTTAGCTTTTAGTGATTTATATAATATATTAGATA